TTGTTGCGCTTGTCTCCACATGCTTCGATCCACCGTTTTCTCTTGCCTCATCTATACTCTAGGCATCTGGTATCTTCTTTGGGGGTACATCAATGGTTGAATATGTGTTCTCAAGAAAAGAAGAAAACTGAGCATGTTGAGAGGTTTGGTTGCAGCTACATTCTCGGCCGAGAAGAAAAGTCATGCGTTTTTGGGTGTATGCCTTGCCATGAATGTTGATGTATATAGGAATTGTAATGGCAAGTAGTAGTGCGGATGCGGCAATGACCTCCACGCGTCTTCAACTTTGTCAGAGATCTTTTGACAAAGTTGCACGCGTGATCTGAAAAGCCGGCATTTCGGCTTTGTCACCCACGCTTGTCGGTAAAAGTGTGTAGCTGTATTCTCGGCCTCCACGCGTCTTCAACTTTGTCAGAGATCTTTTGACAAAGTTGCACACTTTATCTGAAAAACCGGGATTGCGTCTGAAGAGTTGGCGAACTTTACGCAGGAAAATCCGACTTTGAAGAGTGGTGTCTCTTCAATTTGAATTGGTGGTTGTGTCGTCTCTCCCTTTATAGAGGTGATCGATCACCTCTAACATGCACACTTTGAAGATTGCCCATCCGTGAAAATCGTCTCCGGCCCTTTTAGATTTTACTCCATCCAACCCTTCTCTTTTAACATTTTTGAAAATGGCTAACCCATCTAACCTTTGCTTAGATTTGAGTCTCAGCAGTGATCCGGTTGTGCCGCGTCAAGGTAATGTATGGTGCCTGTCTTTCTTATCTCCTAATGGCCCTCTTACAGGTGAAGACTCTGTGATGACGGATGCAACAACAGCTATGATAGTAGCTAGGAACCTCCTCACTCCTAAAGACAGTAGGCTGCTTTCAGGACGGTCCGATGATTTGGCCGTTCAAGAGTCCCTAGCTCTCAGTGTTCAGTGTGCGAGCTCTGTTTCCAACATGGGCCAACGCCTACTTGCTCGATCCCGTCAAGTTGAATCATTGATGGCGGAGGTGGAAAATCTTAAACAAGAGATCAAACAGCTTAAGTACGAGAATAGAAGTTTGCACGTGCTTGCCAATAATTATTCGACAAGCATGAAGAGGAAGCTTGATGAGCTGCAAGAATCTGAAGGTTGAATTCAAAGTGACCGTCAAAGGCTTGCGGCTTTCTTCTAGAGGCACATCTTTCCTGCGTCATCTAGCGTTCCACCAAGTATTGGGGCCTCGAATGATCTATCTTTGATGCCTCCTGCTCCGATGCCTCCCGCTCCGAGAGTTTTGCCACGTAGTGGGGCTTCACGTAAACAACCTTTGTGAAGGCTCCATCTTTCTCTTTCTTTGTTAGATACAATTTTTTTTTTCGCACTTGTAATTTCTCGAAAATCAATGAACATGCTTTGTTTTATTCAGTGTATTGGGTTGCCTCCCAAGTAGCGCTTTCTTTTACGTCTTGCAGTCGGACGAGACCTTCTTAGGCTCAATTGGAACCCACGGCATGGAATATATCTTTGAATGGAAGGTGATACTTGAATTGATCCGGTAAAGGTTTAAATTCAAGATTGGGTGCCTGAATCATCAACAACCTGTTAGTATAAAAGGAAATTGAAATTCGGGGAAGTGGCTTACATGTGTGCTCCGACATAAACTCAAGAATAAACACCCCTTCGAAAGTTGTAGGACTAGAAAATTCAGCTAGATTTGGTGTTTTGAGAGTTATGACCTGTCCTGTGTCATAAGATCCAATTTCTTTGCGAATTGTTGTCTCAAGTATATCATCTTTGATGAATTCTAGACATTCCCGAGTAACATCTTGCTCTTGATTCTTTGGAAAGGATTCGAAGATGCCTTTCTTACCCTCTTCTTCTTTGGATTGCATGATCCTGCAAGGAATAGGGACATATGGTGGAACGGGGTTAGAAATAATTAAATTTGGAACAACCTTACATTTGTTGGATGGCCTAGGAGCTTGAAGTGGTTGCGGCAAGGGTTGCTCCACCCTTGCCGTGGCTTTGCCCTTCCTCTCTTCCTCTTGCAACAGCTTTTCCTCCTCGTCTTGGCTTGATTTTGGTGGTTCTGAGGTAGTTCCAACTTCCTCTCTTCCTTGCTCACGAAATTGCCCTATGAACTCGGCAATTTGTCCCACTTGCTTCTCCAAGTTGTCCACCCTCTTGTCTTGGATTTGCCTCTCTTTGTTTTGAGTTTGGACTTTCTGCGTCAAAGTAGTAAGTAATTGAAAAATCTTATCATTATCACTTGAATTACCTACATTGCTTTGGGCAGGTTGTGGTGGCTGCATAGGTGTTGTATAGAACTCCTCATATGGTTGCCAATATTCTCCTTGTTAAGCCTCCTCGACTTGGTTTTGTGAGCCCTGCACCAAAGAAATTAATTCATTAAGAACTTTATCATAATCTATTGACAAACCTGAGTTTTGTTGGGCATATTGTATATGAGGTTGTGGTGGCTGCATAGACGTTGAATAGAACTCCTCATATGGCTGCCAATAACCTTCTTGTTGAACATGTTGAGGTTCCCACCACATAGAGTTTGAATGATCACTCCAATCCGAATTGTAAGTATTGGAAAACACGTCGTTCCTTGATTGATTATGATCAAATGTACCAACTCTTTGCGTTTGTGACAAAAGAGAAGTAAAATTTGTTATTTGAGCTTGAATATTGGCAAGTGCCATGTCTTGCTTCTCTAGTACCTAAAATCAACAAAACAAAATAAAACACAAATAAAAAAAAAACTCTAACAAAATAAAACTAAATAGAAAATAACAATCCAAGGGATTAGCAACTTTGCTAATCCCCGGCAACGGCGCCAAAATTTGATGTGAGAATTATACGCACACAAATTAAACCCTCTTTTTATCAATTGTAGTGAAGAATGTAAGTAGGGATCGTTCTTAACCGAGGATTAGGAGGGATTGCAAAATCACTTGGAAACTGAGTCAAAAACGTAAAAATAAAGTTTAAAACACTAAACTAGACTCAAAGAATGCAAAACTAAACAATAAAACACTAAAACAAACCAAAGGACTCAAAACAGCCCCAAAACACTCAAAACTGCCTTAAAAACACAATCTGGGCAGTTTTTAGCACTTTGGTGAATTTGGACGAATTTGTGTAATAAATTGAATCAAAACACTTATAAACACAAACTAAGACACTTTCTAACTAAATTGGACACTAAAGTAAAGGGGGAATGAGGTTTTGATGAAATTAAACTAAATGCACAGATTGTAATAAAGGGCAGATTCTAAATATGAATTTGATGAAAATATGGATGATGGAATAGCTAAGGGGTTCATCTCCACACATGCCATATTTGCACACAAAAAGATTTCTAATTGCTTTTCAATAATCCATGACTTCTCAACGCCCCAGATTAACCGTGAATTGCACTAATTAACCCTCAGATTTTCCTAACGTTATTGAATTGGATGATTGCATACGACAACCCAAAACATTCCCCACAAGTCCCCTACATGATTGCATAATAGAGATACAAGCAAGAATCATTAAGTTCTATGGAAACCATAAGCATTGACGAAGCACTTGTTACTATGATTGCATGAAACTTATGCCAAGAATTTACTTAACGCAATTGAGGTCATCAACTTTTACTACTTGTGAATATAAGTTTGTAACGATTAGGTGAAACTTCCTTATATCCTAGCATTAGATTTACGCATGATAATTAGGCGTGCACTCTCAACCAACACACACAAATCAGTTTAATTCAAATAGATAAGTAAATTGAATTCACAACTTATGAAACGCAATTAGAGGTAATCAAATCATATAGCAAGCATGATCATGGTTTCGAATCCTCCCCTAGCCAAAGGGGGGTTTAGTTCCTCATACGTACAAGACAAAGATAAGTAAATTTAACCATTGAAATCAAGGAGAGGAAAACACCTAAAAATTCTAACAACTCAAACTTGAATTGTATGAACGTTTAAGCCCTCTTCTCCTCCTCTTTGTTGCGGCACAAGGGTTTGTTGTGAGTTTTGGGGGTTATGGATGGTGTAGAATGATGTGTTTAGGATAGAGATGGATGTAGGGGACTTCAAGGCTTATTTTTGGGCAGAAAATATGAAGAATGGTGAAGTATGGATGTGTTATAGAAAGGGGATGAATTTCTGGCGTGAATGGTGAATGAATGAATGATTCCTCCTGTTGTGGCTGCAATGGATATTTATTTATAGGTGGATGAATGATTAAAGAGGGAATATGACAGCTAGGTTGGTTGGTGGCTGCCATCATGAAGAGTGCATGGATGTGGCTGAATGGGTTAAAGAGGGAATGATAATGGGAGAGCATGTGGGTGACAGCTAGGTTGGTTGGTGGCTGCAATGGAGGTGTGGAATGATGATGGGAGAACATGTGAGTGAATTATGAAGAGTGAATGCATGTAGGGTGCTGCTATGGTGGGAAATATTGGGCAGAAAATATCCTAAGGCTTTATTACTTAGTTTAGGAAAGGATGTAACTCCAAATCCTCCTTTAGGTCTTCAATTTCGTCCATTCCTTTTGCTCCAAGCATATGCTATCCATTCCAAGCCCAATTTTGCTCCAAAATGCTCCAAAATGCATCCTTTTGCATACTTTGCCCTTAAATCCTGAAAATACATAAAACTAGCTTAAAAGACTACTTTACTAAGGAAAAACACTTTAAATGCACAAGACAAGCTAAACTAAGGTGCATAAATATGCTCCTATCATATCCTCATAGGGTTGAGGACAAAAAACAAAATATCCTTAGCTTTGGGGAGAAAGATGGTAATGGGAGCCTTATAGCAGTTGGCTTTAGTAAGGAAGCTTGTAGGGTTAGGTTAACCAGATGATAGTTCTTGACGAGCTACCCTTTAGCTTTGTTGAGAAGGAAGGGTTTAAGCTTTTCTGTGGATAGGTTCTTATTGGAACCTCCTGAGAATCCAATTGATAAGCAATTAATTGCTTGAAATGGTGGAAGGTTTACTGGGAAAAATATCCAATTTTAGCTAAGATTGCAAGGGAAGTGGTTGCAATACCAGTTTCCACAGTGGCATTTGAATTTGCCTTTAGCACTGGAGAGTGTATTCTTGATGATTATAGGAGTTCCTGACTCCAAAGATGGTAGAGGCACTGATTTGCACACAAAACTGGTTAAAGTCATCTTGTATCTCTTCAGAAGTTGAATCATCATCCATTGATGAGATGGAACTCCATGAGCAGATCATTTCAGGTAATAAACTATTTGTACTTGTATTTGGTTTTCATTTTTCAAGTAAATACTTTCTGACTTGTTTTCTTTTCATTTGTATATGTTTTGTAGAGCTCTCGGTTGCTTCCACATCTAAAATGGATATCGTTGATTAATACATGGTTAAGTTAAGGTACTTTGCAATTTCTATGAACTAATCAAATCTAATCTTCTATTTAATTTCTAATGCTTTTGTGTTATCAGCAATGGTTTACTAATTTAATGAATGTATTGAATCCATTGCAGGCTTGCAACTCCTCTTGAATGCTTTGGACCTTGACTTTGGGAATAAATTAGTAGATGTCATCTCATGTTGCGGAGGGTCATCAACATTTGCTGCTCAAAGCTCATGGACAATACTACTATCTAAGGTTTTGAATTTTATTATAATTTTGGGCTTGATAAGTTAGTTCATGCTTAACTTTTGAATTTTATTAGTATGGAATTGTTAAGTTGAATTTCTGTTATGGTTGAAGTTTGGAACGTGGATTTTAAGTATGATATTTAAGTATTTGAGATTTCAAGTTTCAAGTTCATTTTTTGTTGAGGAAATTTGGATTCAAGAGTTCTGGTTACTAGGTTGAGTCTTTTTAATGTTTGTTTACGAAGAATAATAAAATTGTTATTAAAAAAATAGCATGAAGCACAAATTGAAAAACCCGTCCAACCCAACCCACAAAACACTGGCTTGGGTGGATTGGATTACATGTTTGAGCAGCTGGAAATAGATTCTAATAATCACTACCCGAGCCTATTGGGTCGGCCAATTGGTTTGGGCCCAACCTGAACCGACTGACCCATTGCCCACCCTTACTCTCAACTTTAACCTAGTTGGAGTAATAGTCCTACAACTAAAAATTCTAATCAATGGTCCCTTAACTCTTCAATATATGTAATTATGATCATTTTCTTCAACTTGGTTAGAACTTCTGTTAAAATGCGTTACGTGTCACGCACATGAGGCTGAATCGAGGTGCAAATATGGAAAACCAAATGAGAAAAATTGTAGTAATGGTCCCTCAACTTTAACCCAACTAAAGAAATGATCCTTCAACTTTTAATCCAATTAGAGCAATAGTCCTCAACTTTAACCCAATTGTAGCAATGGTCCTTCCAACATAACTTATTTTGATGAAATTATGACAGAGTTAATGAAAAGGACATTAGTTGCACATTTTGATGGGTTAAGTGACCAATGATCATAAATTTTTAGTTGAGGGACCATTGCTCCAATTGGATTAAAGTTGATACACTATTGCTAAGATTTTCTCCGTTTCTTTTGAATTTTACAATTCATCTGAGCTAGTCATTACGCGGTAGAGTTTGCTTATGTACCCACCATCCGACTTCACCATGGTCGTCTTCTAGTATATGTTTCTTTCCGGTCGATTGCTTATGCCAGTTGAGGTTTTATATCTGCTTTGAACTGTGGGAAGAAACTGATTTACTTGCATATATCTATTAAACAATATAAATAACACAAAATTTGCTCTTGATTTTCCATGTATCTTTTTGTTAAACCAGCACATTTTTATTCGGTTTCCATTATTTTTTATTTCATTTTTTTTTTGTTACAAAGGAACCCAAAGTTAAAGCAGAACCGCTAACAAGGAAGAATATTATCCTAATAGACTTACACAGATAGCCCGAGTTCTAGCAACCCCAGGTTTCATTATTTTGTTTCTATGCAACACATGCAAGTTTTCATTTAAAGAGATCTTATTAAATAGATTGATTTTTCAATTGCAAAATGACACTAACTCTGTTCGACCTTGTCTAGATTGATAGAATTGATTTGGACCTTTCACAATTTCCTTTTTCTGTTTTGAGAAAAAATAGGACAATTGATGGCAAGCGACGGTCCATTTCCAGGCACGAAGAGATTATGAGGAATTTCACTCTGCTAGTAGCCATAGTCAAGTAGACTCACTAGCTCGGAGCATCGAACCTGGGATCTCTCACATTTTTTGTTTATTGGAAAGCCGCAATCCGCGTCCTTTAATACCGAACCACTTGATGTGATTACCATTTTCTTTTTCTCGGTTTGCATCTTCTGCGCAAATATTTATGAGAGTTTTAACGAAAAACTCATGGTACTATTCACTTTAACGAAAAATCACATTTTTACACTAAAAAGTCAATCATGGTACTATTCACTAAAAAGTCAATCATGGTACTATTCACTAAGAAATGATACGAATAATAATAGAGTAACCCAAGATTGACTATGATACTAGGAGGTGAAACTAAGATTACAAACATAGTCGATCCAGACCAAGATGTCAGAGAGTCTGGTAGATTCGAGAATGAGGAATTTGCCCAAATGGTTCAAAGTATAGTCCTCATGGACTAATGGATATAGTACACCTAATGAGATGGTCAACAAACATCTAATCATCATGGTGGTCTCCACAAAAGGGTGTCATCAGGTTTTTAAGTAAGGGTAGTAGTCGTTGACTGGAGGTAGTAGATAAGACGTTTACTTCATGCAATTCCAACATCAAAAGGCATAAGCATTACTCGATCATGCTGCATCAACACATAGCTACACGTTTGGTCAAACATCATCGTAATATTCGAAATTGATCGACATCATCGGAAGGTGTAAGAACAAATGATTAGGTGAGGCAACACTTCAATTGTTAGGAACTTTGTTCATATTCGACATCATAACAAAACTGATTGTTTCCTAGCCAAAAGAAATGGAAATAGGATTATGGTTAAAGAATGGTTGATAACTGTCGATTGAACTGACACGACCAATGGTATTTCAGAATTCACGACACTCGAGAGAATTTTTGATTTCCAACTGTCTTAACCTTGGATTTGATAAGAATATCTTTTGCTATGCTCACGTCTCCCAAGAAAGGTACGAAATCTAAGCAAGGTCGACATTTGAGAAATTTGGTATAAAGCTGGCTGTTGACTTTTATTAAACTGAACTCATGGTTGGAGTAGACAAGGACATTATTGACAAAACAATCACAGAGACATTTTCTGAGGGTCCACACGAATTCCCTTAGCAGAAACAACAAGTCTGAGGAAACTGATTCGGTCTACCCTATAGATATCTTCTTTAATTTTCTCTAACACGAACTTCGGATGTTTTAAGCGATCTCCCAACAAGTGTGCCTCTACTCGCCATTCCTAAGGAACGCAAGCCGCAGAGGACCATCATTGTTTCCGATCTTCTACTGGTCCAAACTAGACTTCATCCCATTAAGATTTCTCTATTTCACATCACTTCTATGTAAATTAGACTCTGCCCACCATTCCTAAGGAACACATGTCATAGAGTATCGGTTCGATGTTGAAAGTCATTCATCAGACAAATATGTCAAACTTAAGGCACAATCCTGACATGAATTTCTATTGCTTCAAATAGGATGTGATTATTCAAGTAACATGAAGGTTGCACAACCGTGCCAAAGGACATCAATAGACAGAAGCTGTGACATCCGCATAATATCATGGATGACACACAACTAGAGTAGGACAAGATCCTAAGTATGCTCTGAGCAAACCATGCTCTGATACCAAAATGACACGCCCCGATCTCGATATCGCCAAATACCAGGATAGGCATATGCTAGTTGACACCCGAGGGTGACGAAACCACTTTAAACATGCATACAACTAAAATATGTAAATAGGAAGAAATACACTAATGCATAATTGTGTTCAGAGCATACAACTAATTAAGAATAATGTGAAGGAATTATTATAAAAATGTACGAGTAAAGGAACAGGTCCTACCTTGAGAAGACTCAAAGAACCCTACGCAAAAGTACCCTAACGTCGAGATCGTGTGCCCTGAACCTAAATCCTGAAAGGGGTGCAAAACCAAAAGGTGAGTGGACCAAAGTTTATAATGATGATGATAATAATAATAATAATAATAATAATAATAATAATAATAATAATAATAATAATAAAACGATTTTCTTTATTAACATACTAACACCATGTTTTGAAAACACATATAATACTACATAATAGGTTTTCTGAAAACTTTAGCATGCAATGAAAAACGTTCGTAAAACTTGTATGTGTAAAACAGTGCTTAGTAAAGGTAATATAGCTGCCCGAAGGCAAATCCGGGAATCTTATCAATACTGTACTCACTAGGGGTATCATAGTCGCCTGAAGGCATAACATATCCATCATCCGAAGGTGAAGCTGTACGACACTGGGTTACGCTAGTGAAGAAACATGGTAGGCCCCATCACCTGAAGGTAAAGTTGTACGACTCCAGGTTACGCCAGAGAATAAACATATACATATAACATCTCACACCGACACTAGCCGTGGTTAGTAAAGCTGCCTGACACTGATTTAGCCAATGAAGCTGGGGTATGGCATAAATATCCTCATATGTGTCCTATGGCCATTGACGTCTACATACCCATGTTGTGTGGATATGTTGTATGCTAACCCACTAGATAAGCACCAAAAACATACCTCAAACTCATATCAAATCCGGAGCTCAAAAGCTCAAAGCCTCATCTCATAAATCCATGATAATCCATATTTATAAATCCATAGAATTTCATACACGAAAATCCAATAAGTCATAACCTTTAGTAAAACGTAAATTCAATAAATCATAAATATTTCGTAAAAGCAATATAAATAACTCATAACTTCTCCGTAAACCATAAATACAGGAATCCATAAAAACATAATATAAAACATACTCAAATCATGAAATATGAAATGCATGCAAGCCTAGTATTTTATAAAACATTCAATTTAAAAAGGAGTCCACTCACAATATTCCATTGCTGAGAAGTCGCTCGAACTAGATAGGATGGTGTCGCTTCCTACTAACGCACCTAAACACAATTTGAGACCATTTAGTAAAACTTTACCTAAAAGATAGAATTTGGGAAAACAGACAACGGATTCGGATTCAGCACATCGAAAAAGCTAAGAAGGGACCTCAGGTTCCCCCACGCACCACCATAGGGCAGCGACCTAGAATGCCACGCGCCACCACACGCGTCGAGTTAGGTTGTCGAAAAATTCTCCAAAAAAGTCACCGGGGCCTCCTTGGACGGCGGCGAAGAACATCACCTCTAGCAAAGGCTCGTGTATTCCACGTCCCGGCCATGACAGGGCTTGGGTTCGGATCGGGTTCGATCTATGTCAAATATGGCTGAGGTTTAATGGGTTGGGCCGAGTTAGGGTTAATAGCCCATGGGCTTGGGTTACATGGCCCAAGGATTTGGGCCAGGTTATTGGATTGGATCCAGCTATTGGGTTGGGCTAGATCCGATTGCGCTACGGGTTGTTTCAGACCGTGGGTCGACCGATCTCCACGAAAAAGAAAGCCAGAGCGTCCAAGCTCCACTCGTCACCAAAACCTAACTAAAGCTAGTCATGTAATATAGCAAAATGAAGCCTAAGGAACAAGGAATCGAAATCTACCTTTGGTTTCTTCAGCTGTGGCTGGAGTTGGCCGAAAGAAGGCTTTAAAGCCGTCGAACTCGCTGGAAACTAAGGAAGTTCCCCAAGCTATTTTCTATCCTAAAACCAGTCCAAAACACACAAGCATGCTCAAAATCGAACCACAAAGATGAATGTATAAAATTTAGAGTATTCCCGAGGCTCACCTTGGTTGAGATCATTGAGGGTTTGGAGTTCGCTGGAGACGGCGATGTGATTTCTGCTTCCTTGTGCATTGTGCACAGACATCGAAGAAGAGAGGAGGAAGATCAGGGAGAGACAGAGGGCTAGAGGTGGCTGAGTTGGTAGAAGTGGTGGAGGGTGTAATGGTCATTGGAGTTGCGAAGGGTGGGTGATGGTGTGCGCGGAGAGAAGGATAGAGTGTTTCCTAGGGAGAGACAAGGAGAAAAAAGATAGAGAGAGTTCTAGAGAAGGAGAGAGAGATCATGGGAGGGATTAAAAAATCGCCACATGTTGCCGCCCTAATAGTCCATGATGGAGAAATATCTCCAATTGTAAAATTACCAAAATGCTCCTATTGTTCCAAATCCCGTAAAATCTTCATTTTAGCTCCAAATTCAATTCCATTTGGGCCCACGCGTCCGTAACGAGGAGTACTACAAGGATACATCAAGGAAATGAATCTTACGTGACACGACAAAGCGGTCAACAAAAGTCAACATTTTTTCCTTGAAGAGCACTTTCGTAAATTCGTGTTTTAAAATTATAAAAACCATAATATTTGGGGACGGGCCGTTACAGAACTCAACAGAATCAAGGATGGTCGCTGACTAGCACTCACAAGAAGGCACTGAACAAAAGTTCAAAACTAACCCCTGAAAACTGATATAGTTAGAAGTGCTACACTAGTTCAAAATCTAGGAGTGCACGACATCGATTGGATGACAATTGCATGCAAATCTCAGCCGTAGGTATTGGGCTAGCTGTGCACTTGCCCCCAGTGAATCCATCGACCCCTGTTGCTGACGTGTGGACTCGCCACTCCCCCTTTCACTTGTTGCTAGGCCCCCAAATTAAAATTCCTACCTTTTCCACCCCAAAACATCTCTTGATGCCCGTTTGGGATTGATGCACTTTTTTGAAAAATTGTTTGTGATGTTTTTTTTAAATAATTAGTTGTGAAATAAAATAGATAAAAGTTTGGTAAATTGTATTTTTAAAATTATTATGAGTATGAAAAATATTATAAAAAGGGTTTGGTAAATAGTAATATAAAAATTGTCTCTTTGTATAATGACAAAAATAGGCATGATGTCAAATTTGAAAAAAAAAAAAAAAAAAAAAAACAACAACTATGAACCAATAAATTTTTTAAGAGTAATATCAAAGATGACAAGAAATAACATGATTGTTGCTTTGTTATGTATTTACCGAACTACTATGTATGTTACATATTGCTAGAGTGCCCAAAAATACAAGCACCAATATGGCAAAAGAGTATTGCACAATCAAAGTATAAAAAAACATATGTTGCTTGAACTTTCCTCCCAACTTGACACTAATAAATTAAAATGATTAGCATCATTAGAATTAATAAATAAATATGTATCAAACCTATGAGTTATTTTATAGAACAAACATCAGCACTAAAGGGAAATAGCACATCAACAAGAAAAATGAATTCTTTAGAAAGAAAACCATAAAATCCAAAACTAGAGTTCGTACCTTCAAAGAGTTCAAAGAGAGATGAATTTGAGGCTGTGCAAAAGCTCACAGATTAGGCTAGGGCTTTTTAATTTTTAATTTTTGTATATATAATAGCGTGGAAAAAAATAGGGGCAGATGAAGTCATTTAGAAAAATAAAAGGGGCATTGTAGGTATAGAGAAACTATTTTTAATCCTTCCGCGTATTATATTTTGCTTTTTTTTTTCTTTCTTTTAAGTGGCTTTGAAAAGCAACCTAATAGTAGCTTTTAAAAGTTACTGTGAAAAGGCTTAAACTTTAAAAATAAGCAGGTCTATAAATATTTGCCAAACAGATTTTAGGTTCTTCACTCGAGGCAAATTTAGGAAAAAGCCATCCCAAACAGAGCTTTAGACAAACTCCAATGGTTGGGATTAAAAGCTAAATTTCAATAAATAATAAAAAATCACTAAACGTACTTCATTCTTACACATATGCACCAGATCATGAAGTAACATCGAAAACTACATAACCTATCCCATTCTTAAGCACAAATACATAGGTGGATAGAACTAAATTTTGAGAAGTTTGAACAAATACATATGTATTCATAGAGTTCCTTGGGTGAAGTTTTGATTTAAATAATTTTTTTTATTTGTCTTAGTCGTTGGATTTAATTTTGGATTGTTAGATCTTCTTATTACCGTTACATTTGATTATATTTGATCTCAATTGTTGAATTTAATGTATTTATAAATGTGACTTAAAAAAAAATCTAGAACGTGGATTCAACCAACAGTTCAGCCACATGGGCTGTTTGACAACAAAAATAGTCGTTGGCCTTTCCGCAAGTGACCGACAGTGTCAGCAACTGGATCCTAGCGCTGGGTTCCACCCACTGACCTTGACTCATTTTTTGGGTTAAATTTGGCAAAACATAAGTTTTAACCCAAGACTTTCTTTTAGCCTAATGATTGAAGAAGTTTTGGACGAGTTTAAAACTAAATTTTGAGTTTTAATTCAACTGTTAGAGTTGGTTTTGAGACCCAAAATGTGAGTTTTTTTTCCACCCCAGTTGAAGACGGCCTTAGAGATAATTTGGACCCAAAAATGTGAGTTTTTTTCCACCCCTTGTTGGAGACAGCCTAAGCCAACCTATCATGCTCTTTTATCTTTACTTGTGGTATTGGTCTTTGCTAACTTAAATATTAAAAGATAAATTAGTACAATATAATAAGACATAAGGAGTGAGAAAAAAGAATTATCTATTGCCACGATCACATTACATTATCCCGTCGATTCGACCACACAAGAAAGAGATGATCCTTTTGAGGCTTTGACAAACACAAGCCCTATTCTCGCTCGTTGCTCCCCCAGTTGTCATGCTTGCCTTTTACATAAACTATTTCTACAAGCTAATAACAAGAATATTAAATTTATAGACAAAATTTATAAACTAAATAATTTGTCACCAATAGAAATAAGTACGTTTATCAATACTTAAGTAATAACACAATCATTAACTTTCATATAATTTAATTTATAAAAATTTGTCAACAAATTTAGTCTCCGTAGCATTACCCATTTTTATAAGGGTAATGTTAGGTTGACTAAATTTTAGATAAAATTTACAAACTAAATAATATATCACTAATAAGAATGACTACGTTAATCAACACGTAAGCAATAATCAAATCATCAACTTCTATATCGTTTAGTTTACATATTTAATCATTTAGCATTATCCCTTCTATAATTTAATCACAAACTTTTAATTATTTAATTATATAAAGAAACATCTACTCTCTATATATATATATATAATTTTTTTTTTTTTTTGCATTAAAAAAGTTAAGTAAACAAAACTGGGGAAAAGGGCAAAATGTGATGTGCCAGACAAGGTGGGGCCCGTGGGGACTACACCCCTATTTTTGATAAGCAAATTAATGATATAGGCTTGTTGCGTTTTCGACTTCTGATTGGCTGGAGGTCTGCGTAGTCGTACGGACGATGTTGATGTATTGCTACCATTGTACTGTCTTTGCCGGTTTTAACTCTGCCCCTCCCATATTTTATGCTTTTTTTTTTTTTTTTTTTTGTCCTTTTTCTTTGCTTTCTGTTATGGGTGCCATTTTGTAGTTTAACGTCCATCACAAGAAACAAAATAAAAATCAACGCATTAGTAACAAACAATGACAAAATTAATATAAAAATATAATGTGCAGGTGGTGAATAATGTTCAGAATAAATTTACATTGACAAGAAGAATGCTCTTACATTTGTTTATAAATAATTAACGTATTTTTCATATTACTAGTTGATATTACAATGAAATCACAATTTTCTTCGATGATTGGTATCTTCTTTAATCCATTACGTCTCAAGGTTAAATTATTCCTCTCCTCCCACTGCAGGAACAATACATAATATACAATGATCAGATTAATATAAAAAGCGTACCAACCCAGAAACTCAGTACACTCTCATATTTGTACATCTCGCTCCTTGGTTTTTCTTTTGAGAACTTTCATCAAACAGGTAGTTTTAAGTTCCTTGCTTTCTCATAGTACTTACCTTTTGTGTCCAGAATTTCTTTTTCTTGTGTGTTTTGTGGGTTTACCAAAACAAGCAAAGGACGAGGCATTTTTGCATACAACCTTTGATTTTTATAGTATATTTTACGTTTCTTTTTCAAGGTGGGGTTTTAAGGAGAGAAGGATAGAAAAAAAACAAGGGAGTTTTAATAAAAAATTCGTAGTACTGTTCATTTTAAGAAAAAATTATATTTTTACACTAAAAGTTAATTCTAGTACTATTCATTTTATCTATTATTTTATCATTATCATTAAAACTCAAAATTTTCAAATTTTTTTATTAGTTTTTTTTTAAAAACAAGACAAGAAAAAAGGAGAAAAAAAGGTAGGTGTGCTGGTTGCCTCTGCTTACCCCAGATTAAGGGTCAATCATCAATCTCCACCCTCCCGTTTCTCTATAATTTCCTTCCTTTCTGGGTTTTTTAGTCTCCCCACATCACTCTCCCTCTCTCTCTCCTCTTTTTTCTTTCTTTCTTTGGCATCTTGTTCTTCTCATATTTGTCCCTAGCTTCTTCTGGGTTAGTTTGCATATTTGGTAAATTCGCTGAGTACCCTCTCCCACTACTCTGAAGAGGATCTTCTTTTTTCTTTGAATCAATCATTCACAAAACACCCACCTCCTCGACCTTCTCCTCCTCCTCTCCCTCTCTCTCTCTCTCTCTCTCTCTCTGTCTATCTCTCTATGTAAATATGCGCAAATATATGTGCTTTTTTGGGGTGTAGTCCAAGTCCTTACTCAAAAACTTGAGAGAAAAGAGCTCTCACTTTCCACTTTTGGCTATTTGGTGATAATTTCGTAAGACTCACTTATTCCCTTAGACTCTCTCTCTCTCTCTCTCTCTCATCCACTTTTTCTTTCGTTGTTTTTGTTTACTCTTCATTTTAATTTTTGCACTCCTCGTTTGCTTACACAAATTATATCTATATGTATATATATTGATTGCTTGCCAACCGTTTTGAACTGAACAGGATCTACTGCCTTCCACCTGATCTATACCGTCATTCCAACTCACAAAAAGAAATAAGCTTTTTGGGTTAATTTTGCTTATTTGGTAAGATTTAATTATCTTCTTCTTTTCGTTATTTTCATATACGTATATATCTTTTTTGTACACATTTGGGATTTTTTCAAGTTTTTGTCTGATGATTTCTGCAGAGACCAAAATAATAATAATAATAATAATAATGAACTGATCTCAGAGCTTTCATTTTCTTGTGTCAAAAGGGTGGAAGGAAATTAATTAAAAATTAAATCATCAAAAATGGTGAGAGGAAAAACTCAGATGAGGCGCATAGAGAACACGACGAGTCGTCAGGTGACATTCTCAAAGAGGAGAAGTGGTCTGCTAAAGAAGGCCTTTGAGCTCTCAGTTCTTTGCGATGCTGAGGTTTCCCTCATCATCTTCTCTCCCAAAGGAAAACTCTACGAATTTGCAAGTTCCAGGTATTTTTTATTTAATTTAATTTAATTTTTATAAAACCCCACATAGTTTTTATTTTCTATTTACATGAAAAATGCATAAAAAATGTTCGTTTAATTTGCCAGAGAATTTGAATGTAATACTAGATCCGCTATTAAAATGAATCTGGCATGCATATTATGATTGCCTGTACGAGCTTTCTTTGCACACAGTACCGTACAGTTGTATATATGGTTATATTTAGTAAGTCCATTTTTACTTTTCATTCAGATTCTTTTTAAAACAAGTTGCATATTTATTTGTCTGAATAATTTATTCCAATTAAAATTAATTATCTGAATTTTTTTTTCTTTTTGTAAAAGTAACCTAGTGAACTATTTGAAATTTTCCGATCAATCATTCAGCGTCATATTTGATTAAATTTCATCTACTTTGTCGTAAAATACTAACACATGAGTCACTCTTGAGGTAAAGTTGTGCCATTATTTGACCTCAAAGTGAATGAAATTTCATCAACATTGACACTAAGAGATTAATTGATTGATTTCAAATAGTTACGAGGCTTAATTGACAAAAGAATAATAATAATAATTTAGGAAGTAAATTTCAACTAAAATAATAATTCAGAGATCAAAAGATAATTTACCCTATTTATATTTGGGTAGCAGTCCTTGCATTACTATTTATAGTAAACTTTAATATATGGTCTGTAGCAGTTGCTCATTTGATCTGGCTACTTACACTGAGTTTGGCTACATACTGTTCATAATACCTTTTGAATTGTTTTGTTCTTTTGCATCTTCGGTAATCGAAGGCAGGAAAATATTAAAAAGAATTAAGTCATTTAGGGCTAGTTCAAGAGCGAGGGTGAGTCGAGTGAAGAGCAAGAGTAAACTAGAAATTCGGAGTTCGAAACTCTCTTTGTGAAAAAAAAAAAAGTAAAATAAAATAAAAGAGGTTCAAAAGAATTAATATTCATGGGTTAGTCACAAAATCTGGGTTACTAAAGATTAATACTTAATAATTCATGGGTTAATTACAAAGTTTGGGTTAACTTCTATGACTTTTTAAATTATTTAGAGCATCTCTATGGGCTTTTTCAATGAGTTCCTAACTATATAATTTAGGGAAGATCTCTAAAAAAAAAAAATCTACTTCAAACATACTCACTATTCTCCTCCTAAGATACGGATCCATCTAGCAGCTCCTAAATATAAGGAATGAGAAATGAGCTATTAAATATAGGGAATGAGAAATGAGCTATTAAATATAGGGAATGAGAAATGAGCTCTTAATGGAGAAATTTTTCAGTGTGCCATGAGCATGGCTTGGTACACCAAGTGTCATAATACAAATGGTTGAATTTTTTTTTTTCAAGTATCCAACCACTTGTACCCACCACATCTCAAGCTCAACTCTACCGTATCATGGTATTATCTGCTTTGGGCCCTGACCACGCCTTCACGGTTTTGTTTCTGGGAACTCACACGAGAACTTCCCAGTGGGTCATCCATCCTGGGATTGCTCTGGCCCTTTCTTGCTTAACTTCGGAGTTCATGGGAACTTTGAAGCCAATGAGCTTTCAAAAGACCTTGTACTAGGTAGAGATAAGAATATACATACAAGACTTACATGATCCTCACCCCTGGACGATGTGGGATCTTACAATTGTGACATTTTACATATTTTTATTATTATTTTTTTTAAATTTTAATGAAAGAAAGACAATTTTTGGGTATTATAAAAGTTTGACCATTTTTGCCTTCTCCCTTTACATATGTAGATTATTGACTCATAATTATTATGTCAATAGAAAATATATTTGGAGTTCAACTCTTTTAAAGAGTTCTTATAATAATATTTTGATAGTTTTAATTAAAATTTTGTTATAAATAAAACGCATGATTAGAGATGCTCTTGAGATCTTCTTGGCAAAAGAGAATTTAAGGGATTTAAACTATAGTCCTATTGCTTGAGAGGAACTTGTGCGGCAGAAATAACAAAAAAGGGACACTGCTTTACAAAATTTAATTTTTTTTCTTTTTATGGGGATTTTACCAAACCTGATTGACATAATCTCGTAGAAGATGAGTGGATAAGGCTTTGTCCCACGTTTCTTGTCCTTTTAATGGACATATTAGTATTTCGCATCAAGAAATGTACTTTCAAGACAAATGTGTTACGAGAGATTATATTCAATTCCTAAATTATTTCCTTCACACTTTTTTATTTTTTTAGTATTTTATGATATATTACAGACCACTAACGTAATTTCGGATGTGTGAATATAATCTCTCATGCGATATCTCCACTTTTCTCTCGATATAATTTTATATTCATTCATTTGGGTGTTGTTTAAACCGATGAATGCATTTTCACAATATTAGGAAAAAAAAACCCATAAAAATTACAAAAAAATAGGAATATGTGTTTAGTAATCAAACAAGATTGGTACGAATATACATCAAATTGTCAAATTTTAACAGTACATCTCTTTTTTAATTGAAGAAGTCCTAAGTTTGAATACCCTTCTCATAAAAGAAAGAAGAACATATATGAAACTACGTAGAAAAAAATAAAACAATCTACTTTTGGCATAATGCATTACATAACCTAATAATGCATAACCTAATACCATATGATTCAATTTTCACAATGGTATACATTATCTGGATGACACATGATGCAAAGTAGTTAACAGTTTGTTTTTTTCTTTTTAACGATATATATATATGATGTCTTACTCCTGTGTACTATGTACTATCTATAAGACGCAGCCTTTTCCTGATTGTCATCTTGAGGTTTTGGATAGCTTTATTATGATGTCCTATGTACTATTAGTGCATGTTTGAACAAAATATATTTTTCAACTTAAAAATTATACAACCATATATTCACACTAAAAGATGGGGAATTTGGACACATGCACAATAATTTGGTATCTAACTTGTCATTCACATAACTCAAACTTAAGACCTTTCATTTATAAAGTAGAGATAAATATTACTAGACCGTAGTGCTAAATAAAAATGAGTCAAACTAGTTAACTTATGAACTTTATGCAAACATTTTCGGATATTATTGAAACTAGGGTTTCTATCAGTGTTCTAAAAATTGGCCTAGGTGACCGCCTAGGTGCTAGGCGGTGAAGGCCCACTGCGACTTAGGGCAAATCGTTTTGAAAAATCGGTATGGAACTAGGAGGAGGGCTAGGTGGCACCTAGGCGGTCCTAGGCGGCTCCTAGGCGGTTTTTATTTTTTGTTATTTTTTATTGATTGTGTGCTTTTTTCTTTTTTGGTTTCATGGTGTTATATTATGAAAATTGTGTAACTAATTTGCAAATGATGGACTTACTACAAGTTCATCCAATAGTGAAACGAATTGGAGCACTTTTGAGGGAATACATACAAAGAAAAGAAATAAACTAGATACAACAAGATTAAATAATTTAGTCTATGTCCAATCCAATGCAAGGACCATGAACAAGAAGAATTTAGTCTATCATCCAAGAATCCTCCTCATTATGATTATATGCTTATTGTTTTTTAAATATTGAACTTTTTGGATGTATGTAGTTTGTATATTCTTCTACTTCTATTTTTGCATTTTATCATTCTTTTATCATCCATACAAGTATAGTTAATTTTTAGGTGTAAATAGGCACTTATTTACAAGATATATAATAATTTACATAACCTCACCTAGTTGCCTAGGTGCTAGGTCCCTGCCCACCGCTTGACTAGTGCCTATCATTTTTTAGAACCTTGGTTTCTATGTTAGCCGATATAGAGGCATATTATTTATAGTGTAGCTCATGAGAAGTAATATAGTTCTCACCAACCTTTTTTTAATGAGAATATTCAATATGTAGGTCCTTTTTGAGAAATAACCATGGATTTCTTTTATTGCTTTACTAAGAGGCAAGGGCAAGACAAGGGAAAGGGCATATAAAGTGTCCTATGAAAAGTGATTACTTGGTGCAATTCCGCCCGTTGGGTTTGGGCTTGTGCAAAGGCGATTAGTATTTACAAATTTTAATTTTAATTTTTTTTTATGCCTTGTAAGTGTGTTTAAGTGTGAACTTTGTAAGTTTGTCCTTTGAAAATAAAACTCATTGTTTAACTCCAAAAGTTTAATTTCAAATACAAAGCAAAGCATAACTTTACAACAAACATAATTAATTAAAAATATAAGGCAAACGAAGAAGATGGTTAGATATTTATAGAATAAAAATAGGAAAACATTGGATGTGGTCTCTATTTATCAATGTTCTTTGGTTGAAATTTTGTTGGTTTTCAGTTTTTCATTGAAATCCCTGAAAATAATGTAATAATGTAATTCTATGTACGTTATTATAATTTTTAAATTAAAAATTATAATTTGTAGTTGTTTATATTAATGAGATTTTAAATAAAACCCATGTGAGAGCGAAAATATTAAAAGATAAATTATACTCTCCAATATATTATACATATATATAAATATGGGTACACTTATAAAAAATAACCAAAATATGGGTACATTCTTCAAAACCAAAATAATATATACTAGGTTCAATAACATTAGTAAAATTCTTTGATTAAACTTGACATAGATACATTCTCAAATCAAAGAAAAAGAATGTACCCATATAAGTTTAAAAGTTGGATTAGAAAAAAAATAGAATGGATTTTGTATATTTAAGAATGGGTACATTTAAGACTAAAAAATTGAAATATTATATGAACGAGTACGTTCAAAATCAAAAGGTTGAAAAATATGTTTATAAAAAAGTAATGAGTACATAACTTTTTTAATTAAATTAAATTTTTTTAATTTGGAAATGTTTTGAATTAAAAAATAATTAGGAGCTTAGTAAAGGTATGAGTATTAAAATCCTAAATCAATAACTTATTTTTATTTTTAAAAATTATGTAACTGAATTATTAATATATTAATGATATGGACTCCGATCAAAATCAACCGATGGAAGTGGTAATTCCAAAGTTCGTGCCCAGCCTATTGTGTCATGAGTGGACTTGCTCTAAAAGACATGTAGAATCGAATTGTGTAAGAGGAAAAGGTTTATGAAGAATTAAAAGTGGAACATGCATGCTGGAGCATTCAATTTGCATATATTAATATATTATATGCTTATATAAAGGGAAGATTTCTCATATTTGGCATTGGTTATAAACTCAGCATGCAGGGAACCATAGAGCGTTATCTGAAGCATGCGAAAGACAATCAAACCAACAACAAATCCAGTTCTAGTGAACAAAATATGCAGGTACGTACCGTGCCTCGTTTTTGTACGTAAGTTCATCCCAGAAAGTGTTCACAGTTGCGTGGACGAATTTATTGGAGTACTGTTTAGATCCATATCTTGGTCTTGTGATGAGTTTTTGTTTAAATCGGAACATGCAGCATCTGAAGCAAGAAGCAAGTAGCATGCTGAAGCAGATAGAGCTTCTTGAAGTATCAAAACGGTTCATGGCCTTGTCTTAAACTTTTCTTTTATCTGAACTTGTCGTCGAAATATTCAGTTTTTTAATCCTTTTCAAAAGGCTTCTTTTTTTTAAACGTGGAATTTGCAAATTATGCCTCAGGCAACTCTTGGGAGAGAGTCTAGGATCATGCACTCTTGCAGAATTACAAGAAATAGAGCACCAGTTGGAGAAGAGCGTCTACAACGTCCGAGCCCGAAAGGTTTATCTGAGAAACTAAAATTATTTAAGCACCTGTAGATTCTGGCACTAGCAGTTTCTCATCTTTGATTAATTTGATATTTAACAAACCTTTTTTTCTCTTTTTCTAATTAATTCTACAGAATCAGGTTTTCAAGGAACAGATTGAGCAACTTAGAGAAAAGGTAAAACTGCTGCAACATAAAGTTCAAAAATAAAGAATTGCATGTCTGCTGTGCTACTGCTAGCTGACTAAATATTACAAAATGTGTAGCTGCAAAATAAGAAATCTACAAACAGTGCAGAACAGTTAATTCCGACAAGAGATAATGATTATGGTAGCTAACTAATGTAAGGCTTTTTTTTTTTTTTTGGATAAATTTCAGGAAAAACTCCTCACAGCTGAAAATACAAGACTGGTTGAGAAGGTAAACCCACCTTATTAAGTTATCATAATCTTCTTTTATATTAAATGTATATTGTAAATTTAGTAGCCACTGGTATTTTCTTATGTTGTACGGATACGGATATGGATACGGGGACACAACATCTGGGAAAGTGGAAAGAAACTCATGTTGAAAGAAATTGAGTGATTGTTCCTACTCGATTTTATTTACAAATTTAGAAAACCTAGCATTTATATATCATGTTAACATTATTCCAATGCCACAAGCCAGCGTTATTTTATACATTTGGTCGTCACTTGAGAGACTTAAATGGTAGTTTTTATCGACAGAACTTGATGTCAATGGTTGAACAAAAAATGACAGTTTCACTTTTTCTTTGTAGTATGGTAGTTTCAAGAAAACATTGGACGAGCGAAGAGAAAAGACACCCTACAATGAAAGTAGTACAAGCTCGGATGTTGAGACTGAATTGTTCATTGGACTGCCGGAAAGTAGGGCGAGGCGCTAGCTTCTACTCCTAGAGAGCCGACATTAATATAACCAAAAATCCATGAATGAGCAGATATATTCTTTCTGTAGTTTCAGATTGTTTTTTGGCCCTGCATTAGATTGTTGCTCCACTAAATTAACATTTCAGTGGACCTCTGGAAGTAATTACAATTGTATTGTCAGGGGGATCATATTGTCTTCCTGGAAATGATTATGATGCATATATATGGACTATTTGATTTTTGTTAGATATATCTTTATGTTTTATTGAAATTCTCCAATGTTCTTTCTACGTGGTCCTTTTACTTCGTGTTCTTTCATCAAATGCAAAGCATCTATCATCAATTAGCTACTCAGTCTCGTCTCTACTTTGTTAGAGGAGGTTCTGAGTTACAAATCTCATGAACGACACTTGTTGAATGATAGATAGAAAGTGTAATAAATATGTTGGCTGTCATCACAGATTCGTCTCTCTATTTTTTTTTCAGCAAACAAATAGAAAACATTCTTAATGGTGGATAACAATGGAAAGTATTGTATATAGAACACATTGCAGCGTTGATACATGGATGTGAATACACGAAAGTACAGTGTTAGGGAGATACAACCAATTACTACTAGCAGAGGCAAATATGGAAAGCCAAAAACCCATGAGTCACCCAAGGCATGAGATAGGGTGGGGTGAAGGGTAAAAAACTCATGAGCCACCCTATTTTACCTGCCCCTCCTAATCTGAACCACAAATCAAACCCCAACTTCGATATGATGATTTCTAATCATCTCCAAAATGTGCAGCACCACCAGAAGTTTTAGCACCTGTAGATTCCACCTCCAAGGACATCCATCCTCAAACCCGGTGTCTCTATCACGCAATTCTCTGTGTTTTTAAAGAATATTAAGTTTTTATGATGTATTGGTTAATCCTTTATAGTTTTATCAAGCAGTGGTTTGTTGAAGAAGTTGGTTCACAGCTTCTTTTGTAGGCAGTGCAGGAATAGCTCCTTTCTTTTGCACTGTCAGAGCACCACAACCATTGGCAAACAAGAGAGCTTCTCTAAGTTTTTGTTCATCCTGGATCAGTAAAAGAATTCAGATTTTCATTACCATATAAGGTGACATGTGTTTGGAAATTGAGTGAAAAGAGTTGGGCTCGTTTAAAATAGGCATAGCCCAACAAGTTTATAGAAAGTCCGACACAACTCTTGATCACAAAATGGGCTGTTGTGTTGCAGTAAGCATGACACTGAAGCCTATTTTGTTGTGCCAGCTCGGCCCATCTATTTTGTTTAGCGGTTAAAAAGAATCTTGCAAATGTATACCTTGTACAAATTAATGTCTGAACCCAAGCCGTTGAGTATGGCAGCGACAAAAGAATCACCGGCACCAGTAGTGTCAACAGCATCAGTTTTGATACCTGCAACCTTACCCTTAAATTCCTGCACCACGGTGAAAAAAAGGGATCAACAAAACCAAACTAAACTGTAGGTACAAACCAATTAACTATTTACATCATGATGGATGTTAACCTTTGTGTAGTATCTGCAGCCTGCTGGCCCTTCAGTTACAAGCAGAAGCTTCAGATTGGGGTGGTAAAGCTTTTTAAAGACCACCTCATCATCATAAGGATCATCACCTCCGGTTAAGAATTCAATTTCTTCCTCGCTTATCTGCAATTTCAAGGATGCATTATAACATGTGGATTAGTAACACTAGGTAACAGGGTGTGGCCGTTACACTAAACAGCGTAATGCACCTTAATAATGTCAGCTTGGTTCCATATGCTCATAATGCCTTTCTGAGCAGCCTCTGCAGATGGCCACAGTGGCAATCTCAGATTCGGGTCGTAAGAGAGGATACAACCGGCCTTTTTGGCAATGTCCATTGCAGCAAGATGAGCTGATCTGCCCGGTTCCTCAATCAAACTAATTGATCCATAGTGAAATATGCCGGCCTACATCAGTCAATTATAATATTGTCAGTAACTTAAGGAATTAAAGGTGACTACTGATTACATTTGGATTTGGGGTTTAATGTTTTACCTTTTTAATCAGATTTACATCAAGTTCTTTTTCCTGAAGAAGCATATCAGCACTTGGGTTGCGGTAGAACATGAATTCTCGCTCCCCGTCACTTCTTAGTGTAACGAATGCCAATGCAGTCCGTGCATGCGGATCAAAACGCATCCCAGAATTGTCCACGTTGTTTTCTTTCAGAATGTCAGCCAACATGTATCCAAATTCATCTTTACCAACCTGAGATACAAACGGTAGGGACTTTAGTTTATCTAAAACAGAATGGCAACAAAGATCTTAAAGCTATATGGTAATGTCAATGTAGATGCTTAGCACAGTCAATTTGTTGACCCCAAATTGACAACCACATTGATTGCATATCAAATTCAGTAAGGTTGAAGTATCAAAAATATCAATAGTATCTGTGAGATATCCATATTTTGGAAAAGTTCGGTTAACCGCAGTATAGAAATATTCTATATAGCACGTTTGACCAAAGAAAATAACAGAATGTTGATAAAGCTAGTTGTAATACAAGGAAGCAGAAAACTAAAAGTGATTTTGGATGACTAGAAAAGCACCTTGCCCATAAAAGCTGCTGAGCCTCCCAATCTTGAAATTCCAACTGCAACATTGGCTGGAGCTCCACCAGCAGCTTTCTTGAAACCATCTGCATCTGCAAGGGAAACTCCGGCACTAGTCGGGACGAAGTCGATCAACATCTCCCCAAAGCAAACAATCAGCTCTGAGTTCTTCCCTTGGATACTACTCTTTTTCTTTAAAGATAACGATTTAGATGAACCTACAAAGAACCAATTGGTTAAGAACTTAAGGTCCGTTCAGAAAGCCAAATTTTTCTATCTCAATAATCCAGTGTAAAAGGAGATTATGACTCGAACATTCTTGTGTTAAACAAAATTTGAACTCATTGAATTTGACATGATTCACGTAGAAGTCCTAGATATTACATAACCAATAATTTAATTCCGATCATATTTTGTAGCTTAGGGAAAATGTTCTGGATCAAATTTTGCCAACACCAATTCTCGATATTGTTAAACAATCAATTGGCTCTAAAAGCTTAAATTGTATATCAAGCTAACTTCTCTCTCTCTCGCGCATGCAGCTTCATCCTGCACGTGAAACATGATCACAAGATCCCAAAAGCTTAGCTTTCAAGCAAATCGGCCAACAATGTATATCGAGTATCCTATCATTTACCTCGAGAAGTCATTTGGGTACAAATGAAATTACCACAGTAACAAAAATTTTCACAAGAATCAAAAGGGGCATCAAAGAAATTAAAGAAAATGGAAATATTAATACCAGAAAGAGAGGAAGAATTCCTAACAAACTTGAAGCTGCCCTTTTTGGATCGCTCAAGTGTGACAGGGAAGCAGCTGCATCCTGTTGGAGCCATTTAATTAAATTAATCAAGAGTTGTGTTGATTTTTCTTTCAGACCAAACGTTGATTAAAAAGTTGAAAACTTGAAACGCAGATCAACGTTGGTCCTTTTTACAAAATTTCACAACTCAACTCTGGATATTTATACAATTAGAATTTTGATTAATTAAATAATCGAGAGTTTATATATATAACACTTTTGTGGGATCATTAGTTTTGCTTTTATTAGAATGTTTCAATATCTCCAACTGAATTCTCTATTTTTTGAGCTAATTTTTTTGCTTAAATATCTCCAAAATCATCTTTGGCTAACCATTTTACAGTGACCACTTCAACCATAGAGTCCCTATTTTAGTTGGTGACAGTTTATTTTTTGTTATCTTTTGATACCAAAACGTGGGTTGGCTCAACTTTTTAGTCTTTTAATATTGTGTTCTTGGCTGTTAATTTTGTTTTTTGTTTTGTTTTGTTAACAAATAGAAATTTGGCTAGAGGACACCCTTTTCATTGGTGTCTATTGTCAAAAGTGGACACTCGCATTGGTGGCAAACCTCAATTGCCACTACATAGCCACTAAATAAGAGAATATGGCCTATGTAGATGACTCTATTGTAACAATGGAGACCCTTATTACATTGGTGTCATCTGCAAACAGTGCCACTCTAATTCACATTGGTGTCAAAGTTGCAAATTGTGTTTTTAAAAAAAGGAGGATGCCCTGTGTGGGTACCCAAATTGGAGTATCATATTTCTTTTTCTGTTTGTGATGAGAAAACAAATTGTAATATCGTTAAAATATAAGAATACAACTATAAATTTGCATAACTGATATTTTATACAATTTTGTACAAATGTTGGAACCAAACTTTAAAAAGTCTTCCAACCCTTTGTTTCCAAGAGCTTAATCATCTCAATAACTTGAATCTGATCATCAGCTATAGCCTGCACCCAAAATCAAACGCACAAATTTCGTAATAATAACGTTAACTTAAGTCCAACTGTTAAAGTAAGTTGAGGACAACACTGAGATATGATCATATAAATACTTGGGAAAAGTAGATTTTCAAGGGGTTTGCAGTCATAATTTACCATACAAAAATCTCCACAAATTCACTTCAACCCTTCTGCAACTTCAACTAAGAACATATTAAATTGACAAGTTCATGAATATGCAGACCACCTTCAACCTTGAAACAATAAATGATCTCCCAATCTGCGTGGGTATTCAAGAATAAGATAAAGAAAGTATAGATACTATATTTATGACCAATAGGCAGAGGACAAGATACAAACAAAGCATTTACATATGAATGAGGGAGAATCGAAATAAGAATGGAATATCAGTGAAGAGCGCGCGCATACTCACACATATAAATGCATTAATATTTTCTCTTTTTTCAGAAACTCAAAAACTAGGAAATTCCAAAACAAGAGTTTAGGAAAGAAACATACAGTTCGTCTGATAGGAGCATATTTATGCACCTTAGTTTATCTTGTTCTTGTGCATTTATAGTGTTTTTCCTTAGTAAAGTAGTCTTTTAAGCTAGTTTTATGTATTTTCAGGTTTTAAGGGCAAAGTATGCAAAAGAATGCATTTTGGAGCCTTTTGGAGCAAATTAGAGCTTGGAATGGATATCATATGCTTGGAGCCAAGAGGATGGACGAAAATGAAGATTTGAAGATGATGTTTCCTACTCAAACAAGGTTTCCTACTTGAAGTAGGAAAGTCAAAATCCAAATGGTTTCAAGAGAAGCAACAAAGAAGTTTTCCAAGTCCAAGAAGGAAAAGGAGTCCAAGATGAAGAAGGAATGATGAAGACAAGGTTTCCTAATCCTAATAGGCAAAGTTTCCAAGTACAATGAGGAGTCCTTATCCATTTAGGGCACCTTATCCATTTAGGACACCCTATCCTATCCTTGCCGTGGGTTTTATCCAATTCCCCTTAGTTTTAGGGCTTTCTAGAAGCCCTAAACATTATCCCTAAGCTTTGCCGCAACCTTATCCCTTTTTCCCTACAAATTTGGCACTTAAAGCATGATTTTAGGAACCTTATCTTATCTCCTACAAAAGTGACGCCCAAACCCTTCTAGAAATCTGATTTCCCTTGCCTTGCAAGGCATTCTAGAAACCTTATCACCTTATCCCATACCTGCCGCACCTAGGAAGCATTATCCCTCTCTATTTCTGATTTCTAAGCCTATTTCCTAGTTGATTTGGGTTATTCAAGTCCATATCTGATTACCCTAGGGTTTTAAGTGCCTATATATACTCATGTTAACCCCTAGATCAGATCACCACCTCTCATACACATTCATTCATTCCATAAATTCGTCAAAACATCTCCACAGCCTTGCCGCAGCCACCAACCACCTTTCTCCTTAGTTTTAGACCCTTGCCGCACCACCCTACATACCTAAATCCATCTAAAAACCAGAAAATCATCCAAAAACCCACCATAGACCCTTTGCCGTGACTTAGCAAGGAAGAGGAGAAGGAAGATCAAGCCTTGGGCGTTTGTGCATTCAAGTTGGAGTGTTGGACGTTTCTAGGTGTAATCTATCTTTTATTTTCAATGTTTAAATCTATATTGCTTTGTTTTGTCATGAACATGAGAGGCTAAACTCGTTTTAGCCTAGGGATGCTTTGAAACCATGATTACATTTATAATATGAGTTGATTAAGTCCAGTTGTGATTTCATAAATTGTGAACGCAATTTACTTAACCGTTTGATGGATAACTTATTCTTGTATGTTTATTAGGGAGGCCTACTTAATTTGCATGCTTGAATTTGGTGCTAGAATATTAGGGTGTTTCACATAATCGTCACAAACTAATATTCACAAGTAGTTAAGGTTGTTTTCACAATCATGTTAAGTAAATTCCTAGCATGAGTATCATGATGTCATAGTTACAAGTGCTTTGTCAATACTTATGATTTCCATTGAACGTAATGATCTTTGACCGTATCTCTATTATGATGTCATGTAGGGGACGTTTTGGAGAATGCTTTGGGTTGTCGTATGATGTCATCCAATCCACTAACTTAAGGGAAATCTGAGGGTTAATTAGTGATGTCACGGTTAATCTGGGGTGTTGAGGTTCATGGTTTATCGAAAAGCAACTGGAAATCAATTTATGTTAGAAAGTATCATGTGTGGAGAAGTATCCCTTGGCTATCCCATCATCCATTAGTTTTTCTCAAATTCGTCCAAAATCTGTTTTAAAGTTTTAAGTTACTTGTTTTCTTTTAAATTCGTCCAAAATCAAAACCCCTTTTCTTACTTGTTCCAAATCTGTCCAAAAGAGTCTTTTTGAGTCTTTAGAGTCAAAACCAAGTGTATTTTCGTCCAAACTAAGTCCTAGAGTCTAAATTGAGTCTATTTGGTTGTTTTAAGTTGTTTTGAGTCTTTAAAGTTTGTTTTTGAGTCATACAAGTTAGTAAGAGTCTTGTGAGTTATTTAAAGTGTTTTAAAGCCTATTTTCACTTATTTGAGTCAATTTTCATTAGATTAGCAATCCCTCCTAATCCCCGGCCTAGAACGATCCCTACTTATATCTATACTACAATTGTCAAAAAGAGGGTTTAATTTGTGTGCTTATATATTTCGCATCAAATTTTTGGCGCCGTTGCCGGGGATTAGCAATTTTGCTAATCCCCCATTGTTTCTTTGTGTTTTCTTTTTGTTTTAGCTACTGACCTAGTTTCTTTTCTTGTTTGTAGGTACTAGTTTATGACTCGTAGTTCTCAACCTGTTAGTGCAAACATCTTGGATTTTGACGACGATTTTGAGCGCACTTTGAGGAAGAAGAAGAAGAACCCAGAATCTAGTACGGCTCCCAACCTTGAGGAGGAGGAAGAGCCAACGCCAAGGGAGGAAGAAGAACCCACGGTACAAGAGGAAGAAACCATGGCAGTGGACAACCGTACAATCAAGGAGCTTTCCGCTTCGGGAATGGCCAATGCCGCACCCTTGTGCATCCAATACCTAAGGGCGGCTCAAGACAAGACCAACGAATTTGAATTGAAGTCAAGCTTGTTGCACCACATTCCAAAGTTCCATGGATTGTCCATGAAGGATCCCAACAAGCATTTGAAGGAGTTCGAGGTGGTGTGTTCGAGCATGACTCCAGTTAACGTTGATGGTAGCATTTTGAAGATGAAGGCTTTCCCGTTCTCACTTTTGGAGAAGGCCAAGGATTGGTTATACGAGTTAGCACCCGGAACTGTCACATCTTGGGAGAGCATGAAGAGGGCGTTTCTTGAAAAGTTCTTTCCTACTTCGAGAGTCATTCTCTTGAGAAAGAAGATTAGCGGAATTCAACAAAGTCAAGGGGAGTCTTTTCCAACATACTATGAGCGCTTTAAAACCCTAGTTGCATCATGTCCTCAACATCAAATGAAGGAAGAGCTTCTAATTCAATACTTCTATGAAGGTCTTCTTCCCATTGAAAGACAAATGCTTGATGCTTCGGCGGGAGGAGCGTTGGTGGATAAAACCCCTATGGCAGCGAAGAACCTCATTGCAAACCGAGCTCTCAATGCACAACAATACGAGGGAATTGGGCAAAGGGACCCCCCACGGCAACATGTGAATGAGGTAAGTTCTCAATCCGACCTTCAAACTCAATTAGCTAATCTTACTTCTCTTGTGTCTCAGATGGCCGAAGGAATGAAGACCCAAAATCCAATTGTATGTGGCGTATGTTCTATTCAAGGTCATCCTTCGGACAAGTGCCCTCAATTGATTGAGAATGGTGGGTGGGAGAGTGCAAACGCCATTGGATTTCCAAGCCAAAATCAACCAAGAAATGATCCATATTCCAATACATACAATCCGGGTTGGAGAGACCATCCAAACTTCAAGTGGAGGGAGCCTCAACAACCTTACCAACAAGGAGGCTTTAGGCAGCAACCCCCGGGGTTTTACACCAAAACCCACGGCCAAGAACAAACCCAACCCCAATCCGCCCAATCACATCAAGGTACGTCTTTAGATAATGCTACAATTCTCAAGTTACTTACTAGTTTGTCTCAGGGGCAAGAAAATCAAACCAAAGCAATGCAAAACCAAGACAAAAGGGTGGACCACTTAGAGAAGCAAATAGGGCAGATTGCGGAGTTTGTGGGACAATTCCGAGACCAAGGCAAGCTCCCAAGTTCAACCATTGTCAATCCAAAGGGAGGGTTCGAATCTGCCAAAGCAATTACTTTGAGGAGTGGAAAAGAAGTTGGCACCACATCCACACCATCCAAAACAAGTCGTAATGAAGACGAGACGTTGCAACATGAAGAGGAGACTGAAGGGAAGCCCATGGCAAGGACACCACTTCTATTGCCGCAAGCCCAAAAGGACCAAAACTCATCCAAGCCATCCCATTCGGCCACCAAAGGTAAGTTGGGTTCAAATTTGATTAATTCTAACCTCGTTCCACCCAATGTTCCTTTTCCTCACAGATTTTTGCAAACAAAGAAAGAAGAGGAGGAAAAAGATGTTCTAGAGACATTTAGGAAAGTTCAAGTCAACATACCCCTTTTGGATGCAATCAAGCAAATCCCAAAGTATGCGAAGTTCTTGAAAAAGCTTTGTACAACAAGGAAACGGATTCGGGAGAAAGAGGTAGTACATGTAAGTGAGAATGTCTCTGCACTGTTGCAAAGAAAGCTACCACCTAAATGCAAAGATCCAGGTAGTTTCACTATCCCTTGCGTAATTGGTAATACAAGGTTTGAACATGCCATGCTAGATTTAGGTGCTTCAATTAATGTCATGCCATATTCTGTTTATGCATCGATGAATCTAGGAGAGCTTAAAAATGATGGTGTTATTATCCAATTAGCCGATCGATCTAATGCATATCCGAAAGGAGTTTTGGAGGATGTTTTGGTGCAGGTAGACCATTTGATTTTTCCTGCAGATTTCTATGTGCTTGACATGGAAGATTCGGCACACTCTCCATCATCACCACTCTTACTTGGACGACCTTTCATGAAAACAGCTCAAACCAAGATTGATGTGGCCAAGGGAGCAGTCACTATGGCCTTTGGTGGTGATATGATTAACTTTAAGATTCCTGAATCGATTGAAAATACTAATGATGTTCGTTCTTGTTGTGCCATTAATATAATTGAACACATAGGGACGGAGTATTCAACAAAGATCAAGAATGATGTTTCTCGAACTACCACCGAGAAGGAATTTGGAGTGGAGCACAAGGAGTGCACGGCTCCAACCTTGAAAGGACCACAATTGGCCATGAGCAAACCTTGTGCATCCGTCCATTGTGCTACCACTTCTTTGCCGTACAAAGGTAAGCCACCTATTCCAAATTCGATTCCCATTTCAACTAATAGGTTGTTACCTCGTGTGGTGCAGGTACCTAATCGAATTCAACGTCGTGGGAGAATTCTTGTTGATGTAGAAAAGCAAAACACGACAATAAGAAAGGATCATTATCCCACTCCATTCAAGGACCCAAAGCATGAAGTGGTTCGTCAGACAGATTGTAGTTGCACCCCTCCATGCCGTGGGGTTCCATAAACCTTCAAGGGAGCATCGTCCGGCTGCACGACGTTAAAGCAAGCGCTACTTGGGAGGCAACCCATGCATTCAACAAAGGAAGACCTAGAAAGCACTCCAATTCCAGATTTGCGTTCCTAAACTCTTCTCTTTGTTGTTGATTTTGTTTCTGCCATGTTAGGTTGTTAGATGTTGTTTTGTTTGTTTGTTTGTTATTTGTGTGAGTCTATGCTTAAAACATTGAGGACAATGTTTGATTTAAGTGTGGGGGGGTAACTAAGTGTTTTTATGCAAATTCGTGGGATTTTATCACCCATTATTTCAAAACTTGTTCTTTGCTGTTTTTAAGTGTTTTTAAGCAGTTTTGGTGTGTTTTAGTATATTTTGAAGTAAAAATCCGAAAAATCCAGAAAAAATTAAAAAATTGTTTTGAAAACCCCAAAAGAGTTGTTTTTAAGTTGTTTTTGTGTGTTTGTTTGTGTCTTAGGGTACCTTCCAACACAATGATGAGGATTTGGTTTTTAAATACATGGCTGTTAAAGAGAATGATTAACATGGATGAAAGTTTGATTTACTCTTTGTTTATGCTTGGTTGTGGTTATAACTTATGACTTCACATGTAATCAAAAAGAAAAAAATTAGTTTTTGTAACATGCTTGAAGGAAGGAACTCAAACAAATGCTACAACCTTGTGAGACTTGAGCCTAAACGTTTATTTGGAGAGTTCAAATCTGTGCATTCTTGTTTTCTAAAGTCGTTGCATGATCTCATTATTCTTTGCTTGGTTACTACTTAGAAGGCGTTTCATCACTATAGTTCCAAATACTAGAACTCATACCCATTTTATTCAAAGCATGAAATTGATTAGCATAACAAATAACAAGATGAAGTTGTGTAGTAGTCACCACCATAGCCAAATAGCCAAATCCACCCTTGTCATTTGTATTGTAGGTTTAAACCCCTTTGAGCCTTATTTAGCCTATTTTCATTGTTAGCCACATTATCCTCACCTAGCCTAGATTAGGACTTTCCATACCTTTGTTCTTAAAGGATAGTAAAGCACGACTTAGGGTGAACTCCTTTGGTCAATATATGGCAGAAAACGAGTGTGGGGGAAGATGATAGGGCACGAAAAAGAAAAACAAAAAGAAGAAAAGAAGAGAAATTCGTAGAAAAATCAAAAGAAAATAGAAAAGTGTTGAAAAGAAAGAAAAAGAGTTGAAAAATAAGTGAGAATGAACTCACAAGTGTTGGTTGTTGAAGGAAGGGTCCAAAAGAGTGAATTTGACCCTAAATGTTGCATGAATCTTCCCTTGTGTGTACTAACTGATTTCGGCCATTTTGAAGAGAGTTTAAGTATCAAATTCATTACTGTGCTTACTATTGCTTTAAAGAACTTTTGTTTATCCTTTACCCTTCTTTGTTAGCCAATACCCCTAGCCCCGTTACAACCCTTGACTTTAATCTTGAGTGTTATGTGTTTCAATTTGTGGAGTTTAAAATTGGTACGAGCATATGGTGTCACTGGTTCTCGCATCTAAGTAGTAGCATTCCATTCATGAGATCATATTGATAAACATGCTAGTTAACTCCGAAAAGTGCTTTCTTTGTCATACATATATGTGAGCATTCGTTTTCATATTTACATCTATCTTCTCACATATAGCTAGTATAGGGTGTGTAGTCAGAAAATCTGTGTGAAAAGTGAGTGCATATCTAGTAAGGAATGGAGGGAATTCTCTAAGGCATGTTACTACATTCAAATCATGTTTTAAATTGGTTATTTGTGAACTAATGAGTAGTGACTATGATTAAGTAAATGCTTAAGCGTAAAGATGGCTAAAATCTGTGGGAATGATGATTTTTAACATGTCATGTGCATTGGAAATCCCTGAGGCGATTGTTGGAAGGTGTAGGTTGTGTTTTACTCGTTTTACTTCGCTCATTTACTTTGCTTCATTTTGTTTTGCTCGAGGACTAGCAAAAGCTAAGTGTGGGGGAATTTGATAGGAGCATATTTATGCACCTTAGTTTATCTTGTTCTTGTGCATTTATAGTGTTTTTCCTTAGTAAAGTAGTCTTTTAAGCTAGTTTTATGTATTTTCAGGTTTTAAGGGCAAAGTATGCAAAAGAATGCATTTTGGAGCCTTTTGGAGCAAATTAGAGCTTGGAATGGATATCATATGCTTGGAGCCAAGAGGATGGACGAAAATGAAGATTTGAAGATGATGTTTCCTACTCAAACAAGGTTTCCTACTTGAAGTAGGAAAGTCAAAATCCAAATGGTTTCAAGAGAAGCAACAAAGAAGTTTTCCAAGTCCAAGAAGGAAAAGGAGTCCAAGATGAAGAAGGAATGATGAAGACAAGGTTTCCTAATCCTAATAGGCAAAGTTTCCAAGTACAATGAGGAGTCCTTATCCATTTAGGGCACCTTATCCATTTAGGACACCCTATCCTATCCTTGCCGTGGGTTTTATCCAATTCCCCTTAGTTTTAGGGCTTTCTAGAAGCCCTAAACATTATCCCTAAGCTTTGCCGCAACCTTATCCCTTTTTCCCTACAAATTTGGCACTTAAAGCATGATTTTAGGAACCTTATCTTATCTCCTACAAAAGTGACGCCCAAACCCTTCTAGAAATCTGATTTCCCTTGCCTTGCAAGGCATTCTAGAAACCTTATCACCTTATCCCATACCTGCCGCACCTAGGAAGCATTATCCCTCTCTATTTCTGATTTCTAAGCCTATTTCCTAGTTGATTTGGGTTATTCAAGTCCATATCTGATTACCCTAGGGTTTTAAGTGCCTATATATACTCATGTTAACCCCTAGATCAGATCACCACCTCTCATACACATTCATTCATTCCATAAATTCGTCAAAACATCTCCACAGCCTTGCCGCAGCCACCAACCACCTTTCTCCTTAGTTTTAGACCCGTGCCGCACCACCCTACATACCTAAATCCATCTAAAAACCAGAAAATCATCCAAAAACCCACCATAGACCCTTTGCCGTGACTTAGCAAGGAAGAGGAGAAGGAAGATCAAGCCTTGGGCGTTTGTGCATTCAAGTTGGAGTGTTGGACGTTTCTAGGTGTAATCTATCTTTTATTTTCAATGTTTAAATCTATATTGCTTTGTTTTGTCATGAACATGAGAGGCTAAACTCGTTTTAGCCTAGGGATGCTTTGAAACCATGATTACATTTATAATATGAGTTGATTAAGTCCAGTTGTGATTTCATAAATTGTGAACGCAATTTACTTAACCGTTTGATGGATAACTTATTCTTGTATGTTTATTAGGGAGGCCTACTTAATTTGCATGCTTGAATTTGGTGCTAGAATATTAGGGTGTTTCACATAATCGTCACAAACTAATATTCACAAGTAGTTAAGGTTGTTTTCACAATCATGTTAAGTAAATTCCTAGCATGAGTATCATGATGTCATAGTTACAAGTGCTTTGTCAATACTTATGATTTCCATTGAACGTAATGATCTTTGACCGTATCTCTATTATGATGTCATGTAGGGGACGTTTTGGAGAATGCTTTGGGTTGTCGTATGATGTCATCCAATCCACTAACTTAAGGGAAATCTGAGGGTTAATTAGTGATGTCACGGTTAATCTGGGGTGTTGAGGTTCATGGTTTATCGAAAAGCAACTGGAAATCAATTTATGTTAGAAAGTATCATGTGTGGAGAAGTATCCCTTGGCTATCCCATCATCCATTAGTTTTTCTCAAATTCGTCCAAAATCTATTTTAAAGTTTTAAGTTACTTGTTTTCCTTTAAATTTGTCCAAAATCAAAACCCCTTTTCTTACTTGTTCCAAATCTGTCCAAAAGAGTCTTTTTGAGTCTTTAGAGTCAAAACCAAGTGTATTTTCGTCCAAACTAAGTCCTAGAGTCTAAATTGAGTCTATTTGGTTGTTTTAAGTTGTTTTGAGTCTTTAAAGTTTGTTTTTGAGTCATACACGTTAGTAAGAGTCTTGTGAGTTATTTAAAGTGTTTTAAAGCCTATTTTCACTTATTTGAGTCAATTTTCATTAGATTAGCAATCCCTCCTAATCCCCGGCCTAGAACGATCCCTACTTATATCTATACTACAATTGTCAAAAAGAGGGTTTAATTTGTGTGCTTATATATTTCGCATCATCGTCCGAGAAGGAAAGCAACCCCTGCACCTAAAGTGGCTCCAATTGAATCAGCAACAAAGCCAACAGGTAGCCCAAAAAGATAACCACCACTGAGATGAACCATTAAAATGAGGAATCACATAAAGGTGCAAACTTTCAATTAAATAAAGATACAAAATTTCTTTTTTGAAAATCTTTCCTCTCTATTTCGCCCTATACCATGAATTGATATTGTAGAATATAACAGTAAAAGAAAACTATAAGTGAAGTATGCAAAGCATATGCCAGATCATTAGTCCACAAGAATTAAAGTGCAGTAACAACAATTGCTAAGGCATCGGACAAATGCTTACAGTAAGTACTGAATGTTATATATTTAACACTTGCAGGATTAGACTGAACGTAAAACATATAATATAAAGACACTTCATACACAAGAAATTCACTTCATACACAAGTAGTTGTACAACTAGTAAGTAGACCCAAATGCTTACAGTAAGTACTAAATATAACAGGATTAGACTGAATGTAAGTGGTATTAGGATCCCACCTTAACCAGAAAATTTGCTCCAGCCACAAGACAGTCCGTTTCACCTGCCTTGTCAAGAGAAATCCCAAGCTTTTCTTTAAAAAGATCTACGTACTTAATGCCCCACCAACTGTGGCCTGCTCACCATTGTCACAAGTCAATAAATTAGCTTGTATATGTGCCAGAAAACAGTGATACAATGGCCAAACCAAACAGTTAGTTTTTACCTTAATAACGCACTTCGCACTCCCAGAAGCTCCTCCGTGTTGTTGGGAGCCTGAAATCATCTACAACCATAAGCAATGACCCAAAACCAGAAAATGATAACTACAACTACTGAACAAGCAGCTATATTCAGGGCATATATGATCTTCTTTCATATTTCATTTTCAGAAGTTTAAATCTTCTGAAACTACAAAATTTTTGCAGTCGAAATTATGGGTACTAATTACTTAAGCTGAAGTAGTTCATTTACCAATAAAAATGGTAGTTTGAACTTTCAATCCAAGATTTCAACATCAACACTTAGTTTAACAAAACAAGGTTAAAAAGTCTCAATTAGTGAAAAAAATGAATCTTCCCATATCCCAAGTTGATTGAAACGAAAAATGATACAAATGAATCAAGAGATGGAAAGCAATCAAATACTTGTTAAGCATTAAGCATACCAGTAAGGCGAAGTTGCTTGGATCGAATGAAGTCTATACAGTAATTGATTTTCTGAGTTTCCAACTTTGCAAAATGGAGCTTCCCTTCAAGAACAGGACGCCCTCTATCCCCATTAGAAGCTGCTAAACTCTCATTCGAAGAAGACGAATCGTCACTGTTCATTGAGAAATACACCAATTTTATCAGAGAACCTGCCAACAGACAAAACAAACACAAAAACAATCGAAAATCATGAGAATTTGAGCAATTGGACTCCAAAAATTAAAAAGCCAGGGTTTTGAAATCTCTGTAATTCTAACGTTCCCAATTTCCATTTCGGGTCGGCTTCCTCTTGATTTGAGCTTTTATTTTGGAAAAATACACTGGAGGACAGCCCACGAGGAGAGGATCATCTTTACCTCTTGGGTCGAGGTCCAATTCCGGCAAGCTTGGCCGTAAATTGGCCGAAAAACCAGCGGTTACCGTTTCTTTGATCTAAAATTGAAAAAATTCGGCTTTGAATTTGATGAAACTAACTTGGGAGTTGGAAAGAGGACGGGAAGAGGATTTTGGAGGTACAAGTTGACGGTCGTTGGTGTTCTCATCGCCGTCGTTTGTCTTCGACTCCCGTTGTCGGCGCTGTCGCGTGAAGAGAAGAGGAAGAGGAAAAGGAGAGATAGAACGAAGCAAAGGAGCTGTTGGGCGTTTGTGAAGGGGGGAGAGAGGATTCAGCAACCAAGTCTTTTGTTATATGTTACAAACATTGCCATCACCCAACCTGTTGTAGGGCTGATATATTCTCTGTACCAAGATAATAATCAAGCAAATAAGTAATTTACTTTTTTGCCACTTAGTATTATGGTCTTCACTTGCAAGTCGGAGTTGTTAATGTTGACTTCCGTAAATGGCAACTTCGATGTCAAATTATTATGACATGTCCATTGTTTTACTTAATACAAATCTTTTACCCATCAGTGTAAAAGAATAGATAGAACAATTTAATCATCAACAACCAAATTATATGGTTTACAAAATATGGTTTAAATAGGTAATTCCTAGCATTACACTGGGTAAAATATATCCTTGCATGTAAAAATGTATAACAAACTGCCTTAGTTGAACTTGGTTAAGTGTAAGAATAGTCTAGACTATTGAGTAGTCTAACTTTATGTCCATTAGATTGGCAAGTAAGCAAAAATATTTTTTCCTCAACTCAATCTTTAACCGTTCATTTCACTATTGATTAGTCCGGATTATTGAAGAAAAATTGACTGAACTTGTAGAAAAGTTGAACTAATACTTTAATTAGATGTACTTGCAAAAAAGTTGGGTGCCAATATAGGAATGAGGATCCTTGTTGTATTCTCAAATCACATTCATTTATCGTATGTCGTGCGGTCAAAAATCATTGTAATTTTTTTTATTTAAAATTGAATATAAACAGTACCTGGCGAAAACTGGTTGCATGATGTACAATGAACGAATGTAATTGGAGGGCTCTCTCCCAACATAGCACTCAAAGTAATTTGACCTATAGTTTCAAGACATGAGTTGGATTCCCGTCACCTCCTAAATTAGATCGTTGAGCAAATTTTAGTTCGTTATAGAGGCAAGGTCTCTAGTCAAGTTTACACGAAATACATACCAAATTAATTGGTAAATATTCTTGATCAAGTGTTAAAAAACCTTCCTATGATACAATGATACCTCGAATCTCACATGTGATGGGGAATTCTTCGGTACCTACGTAACGATTGGAAGTCTAATAGTCAACTTTAACTAGCAATCATGGATGAACTCTTAGATCGTAAGTTCATAACTAAAGGTACTTGAGAAAAACCTAGCCAAATGACAACATACTCCTTAGGACAATGCCATATCCTCTTTGTTACAGAATAACGTTGATTTTTAGATAACCAAACACGATCAAGAACTTGTACTCTTTTGTGAAACAAGTACTAAAAGAACCAGACCCTCTGTTGTCAATTTTGTTAATTAGGTACATGAATAGCATACATTTTTTTATTAGTTACAAAGGATCGAGACATAAGATTTTCTTATCGTATAATCACCGAAGAAGGAAAAACTTTTGCATAATCATGCTCAATAAAGCGGTTTACCACAAATCAATTCCTCTTACGCCCACATTAGCCAGCCAGCACACCCCCAATCGTATTCCTAAACCACCCATTAAATAGTTAATGTAAGTCGAGTGATCGATTCTCTCTTTCCTATATCGTTTGTATAAGGGAAACTAACAAAAGAAAAAGAACTTTGATTGGATTTGATTTGTCAAACTCCAAACCTCCAAAGCCCACCTTTAATGTAAACCAAGGCTCAATGGAATGGTCATTGACAATCCAACCGTCAAGGCCCAAAAATACAGCAATTATCAATAAATAAAAGTAAAAAGAAAAGCAAAAAGAAAACCAAATAACAACAGGGAAACACAGGAATCTAGAAGTATAATTTCAAATTTACAAACATCTCTTGTCAGTCATACTTAAGTAAATATATGTTGGCAGTATTACAATTCTTAAAGTCATATATTCTTGCAAAGTATAGATATTAGAAAATATAATTTATGATGCTGCAATAATATATAAAATATGAAATATATATCCTTCATTTTTGGTATTGAAGGTTTTCAGAGAACCCATCCTTGGATGAAGTTGGTCTCACCAGTCAAGCTCTTTGGAATAGATGATCCCTCGGCAGGATGATACTGATGGTACCTGTTCAAAGTTCAAACAAACAACTATTATCAGTTTCACATCAAATATTTCTACCATTACTTTTTCATACTAGTAAATTAACCAACAATTTTTTTAGAACTAAGGCGAAAGGATGATTGAAATGAAAACTATATGGATGAAAAAATAACTCGTTGCGCTGCTTAAGCTCGGAAACAAGCATTTTCGCATAAGGATACTGTTGTACCCTTTTTGCATGGGTCGAAACAGGTAAAAAGGTGGTTTGAGGTTAGTCAAGATGAGGATGAAATGGTCTTTAATTCTTCAAAAGATAAATATAGGATGAAGGGATAAGATATATTTATTTATTTTTAACTCTAATTGCCAGTACTTTTGTAGTTGAAGTTGTTCCAGAAAAACAATGATCTGATCAGTGAGTTTAGCTGAAAACACAAAAGAGAATTGAAATACCCCATTTGCATGACAGGTTCAGGTGTACAGTCCATGGGGTTGGTTTGTGAAGAATGCAAAGAAAAGTTGCTACTTCCAGCCGCTGCATCTGAGCTCCACATGTTTTGAATGACATTCAGATTCTGCCCTTCTTCCTCAAGCTGATCAAATTAAAGCACATTAACAAAATACTAATTATGATTAATTAGATTAATGCCACAAATATGGAGGAATATTGCTGTATAATTAAATAGAGAGGAATATCAGGATCGTATATACCTTGACCCTCAGCTGCTTGTTGAGGTCTCCAAGGTGACGCTCCTGCCATATTTGAATATTACAAAACAATTGGATGCTAATGACAAACTTTGAACACAAAACTTTGCAAGAAAAACATAACAAATTATAGGTCAATAACTATTTGGGTTTGTGAAGGTTATACAGCTAATTTAATCGTGAAAATGGTGTGTTATTTTAGTCGAAATGTTTGTCTGTTTACATTGCAGGAAATCTAAACATGGACCAATCATAATCCTAACTCATCCGTCACCATATACCTATGCAATGACATGACAATAGAGGGACGTTGAAGAGCACTTTATGCCCTAGTTTGGTACTAAGGTGATTCTGAAAAAAGTGGCTATCAAGAAAAGCTGGGAGCTTTTTTATGTTTGGTAAACATTCAGCTTTAGCTTTTTTTTTTTCACAGTTTTTGGTGAAAAAAATGCTAAAAACACAAAGCTGCAAAACCCAGCTTTGAATAACCATTTTTTCAAATCTATTTTACATTAAAGTTTATCAAACACTATAATACTGCTTTTTTTTTTCTTTTCAAAAGCACTTCTACAAAAAAAAAATTACCAAACACTCTGTTGCTTTATTTCACAGCTGCTTATTCTCATAGCACAATAGCAGTAGTTTTTTTTCAAAGCACAGCAATACCAAACCAGCCCTATATGTAGAAGATGGTTAATTAACTGTATATAATTAAATTCAGAATTCTCTTACGTACCTTTTTGCGCAGGTCCTCCATTTGTTCAATCATAAGCTGTGTCTACAATCAAGAACAATCCAAATGTATTATGCGATTTAAATGCTAGTTAATTAATTTAACATTGTGAACTTTATATATATATAATGTGAAAAGGAAGAGAACAAAATGAATGAAATCTGTATCATGGGTTGGTTGCCAATCTACATTTGATTTCAAAATTTAATTAGGCATTAATTTATTTTACAATATTTAGAACATATATAATTTGTATAGAACACACACACACACACACACACACACACACATATATATATATATATATATATATATATTTATAATATATATTGTGATACCTGAGTGTCACTAGATGATGATAGCTATAGAAATAGGATCCTCTACATGTGTTTTTATATTTGTGATCGGCGTACAACCAAAATTAGAAGAAGGATTAGCTTTCAGTGCCATAAATTAACAATTTAATTCCCTAACCATCGCAAGTAATTACGTATTAATCGTTACCTTCCTTTGTCTGGTTTGTGCAAGAGCTCCTTCAAGTTGTTTTTCAAGATTTTGCAACTCCTTCACACTCAGTGGTCCAAGATCTTCACCAAGCAAATGCCTTAATCCAAATGCATGATCACAAGAATAAACCAAGGTTAGCAAATAATTTATGGATATAAAGTTATTGATTTGTTAATTTCTAATTAGTTACAGCACAACCTTTGAGTTCGCTGAAGGGATTCATATTTAGCTTTCAGTTTTGTGACTTCTTGGTACCAGCTCTGCATGATTGTTAGCCATAAACAAAAACAAAACATAGTTAAGATCATTCACGAAATTAAACTTGAACTAACTAAACTATTAAAGCCATGAAATTACTTGCAGATTTGAGTGCATTACAAGTTTAACCTAAAGGAAATTACTTCTGAAACACAGAAGAAATTAGCTAGAATAACCTGTGTTTCACGTTCAATGCTATTCTCATGTGGAGTAAAGGAGCAACGTTGGTATCGTTCAAGGGTTTTGCTCATACTGCCAATAGAAAGTATAAATTAATTTTTTTTTGTTTGTGATAAATGGTAGGTGATCAAATTAAGAAATTATTCCCACAGCAAATTCATCAGATCAGCAAATAATTTTTTATACCAAGAAATTCATTAAAGTACCATCTAAAGTACACTAAGATATATAAATTCTTTTGAGCAAAAGTTACATAGTATTATCTGAATAAATGTTCTGGGCTGATTATGTAAAATGAACATATATTTTAGTGTAAAATGCACATATATATGAAACTATAAACTTAAAAACTTGGCAGGAAATGAACTTTAAAATCAATGAAACAATAAACTCTCTAACTTCTTTACACACACATACATTATGAGTTAATGACTCAGATTCTTGTTGAGGCTAAAGATCTTTAGTTAAGATCACCATAACATAAAAAGTAAAATATATAGATGTTGATTACATATGCAATGCGATATAGATTTGTACCTTTTATGCAAGTGTTGCCGCTTTATAGATATGCTTGAATCTGTTTTCCTTTTATTTTAATGAAAATTTTTAGAACCCAGCTTCAAAATCTATTTCCAGAATGTAAAAACTGAAAAATAAACCTTTAAAACCAAT